AGCTCACTCAGATTCCTCATTGTTAAGACATCCAAGGAGCCTGGCCGTGGAGGAGATAAAAGGCTCCTTCTGAAAGCACCACGGAAGAGAAAATATTTGTTCCGTCGCCGTGCCCCTACACATGTGCTCTTATGCTCCATGGCTGGGGGTCTAAGAAGATGAAAATGGAGGGGCCTTCACAGAGCTGGAGGAGACCTGGCCAGATGAATCAGGGGCTGGGGATATGTGCTGTCCTAAATTGGAGAACGCTGAGGTGCCCTCCAGCCTACAGCTATTCTACTCATTCTTACAAAATATCCCGCACGTCTGGATGGCATTCAAAAGAAATGCTTTGACTTTTTTCCTCCCCCCCCACCCCACTACTGAATATAACTGCAATTATATTTAAAATATCTGTACTTTCCATCTCTTTGACAGGCCCTCTTCACTTGTGAAGTTTCTATTCAATACATTTCAATAGTCTGATCTCTTTCTAAAAAAACAGTAAGCTAACCCCCAACAAGGCCAATTCTAGAAGAGACCAATGTATTTCTTTTAACGTTTCTTTGCAAATAGTTATTTCATTCATTAGAATGAATGTTAGAAGAAATGACAATAGAAAACTCAAAGAGATTCACATTTAAATATTTAGATGTATAAAAATATTGTAGGGATTCATACCTAGGGGCCAAATGTAATTGTCGTTTTAAAAAGTCACCCCTCCACCCACTTCCCTCCCTTTAGCCTCTCCTCTCAGCCCTTCCCCAACCTCCCCAGTTCTTCTCTACCCTATTGTCCATGTCCAGGGCTATGCATATAAGTATATAAGTTCTTTGGCAAAGGTCATCCTTTGACATAACCACCTGGAGGTGAAATGCAGCTGCAGCACATGTCCCAGCTCACAGTAGGTTTCCCTAAAGAGGCAGCCATCTTCTTTGAGGCACAGTGAATAAGAGTCAATGACTACTGACCGGTGGCTTCATCTGAACATATGGACAGTCTCTATACCTTTCTTAATGGCCAGAGGCTGCAGCAACAGAACAACCAAGTGCTGAGGTCACACTGACAGCTGGTTTATAATCGCTAGGATAAGCCCAGGGAGAGCGAGTACTCACTCCCAAAGAACTACATCTTCTCTGGTGATAGCACTCTCCCGCGGCAGGCCTGTGTGAAATGGTAGCAATCTGGGAGCCCCACGCTTGCACGGGACCTCCTGTTGCCTCAATGCTGTGGTCTACCGCCTATGTGTAGGAGGCTTAACATATTCCAGTGGTGGATCAAGACAAAATGAAGATGGGAAACTGGTGAGATTTTATGTGGAGGTGATTTTAAGAAAGCACCAAACACACAAAGGTAACACTTCAAGAGGGTTAACATTTTCACAAGAACAAGAGGATAGTATGAAGTTAGAACGTCAAGGAAAGTTCCCATTTTCCCAGGGCCATTTGTAGACAACTTTCACAAGTCTTCAGCTGATAATTAATGTGTAGAAAACATGCACTTTGGCTCAGTTTTGTTTAGTTGGTGTGTTGTTGCTTTATAGTTGTAAGATTTTTTTTCATCTTTGAAAAGTATCATCACATAAAGTTGTTTTACTTCGGTTTGATGTAGATTAAGGACACCCGTGAATGAAGATGGGTTCCAGTTTACCTTATTAGGTCCAGAAAAGATAGCCCTGGCTGTCAGAACGTAATACCTGACATGTTTTTGGAGGTACATCACTGTTTCATGGTCAGCTCAGTTACATCATCACTTGTCCAGTATCTTTATGTGAGGCACAGGGGCTCTTCATGACAGCTCATGCATTAAAATCAACACGTGGTTATTTTTACTCAACGTTGCTGCACTGAGCATCACCTTCCTCATTCCTCAAGTCCTGTGAGCACTGTTTCAATTATTCTAGTGCTTATATCTCCCTAATTTATCACTTCACATCCTTTAATGATGGTGACTTTTTTAATACATTGAAACACTACAGCAACACTGCAGAGATTTTTCTGGCTCGAGGAATAAAAACTATGCTGTTTATTGCCTGTGGATGTCTGTAGTCACTCCAACCCCAGTCAGGGATGGTTGCTTTGTTTTATGAAAGCAGAGAAGTTCTAATTTAAACAACTCTATCCTTCCAGAGTCTTTAGAACTGGGCAGCCCTGGAGCAAATTAAAGGTTTAAATATTTGACAGTATTGTAAAAGAAACATTCCTTTATTGTTAATTTTATGATGCCTTTATTATTTTTACTGTGATTTTAAGTTCCAGTGATAGCCTACAGATATTTAACACACATACATAATTACATTTAAAATATACTCTAGTTTATCTTTTTATATGTGTGTATCACATCTGTCAATTTTGATGATGATTAAAACCTGAGTGCAGCAAACACAATTTGAATTGACCGAAATACAGCTTATTTCCACACATGATATGCCTTTTAATTAGCACAACTTATGCCATTTGTCACCTTTGATATAACATGATGGACTGTTGGCTTCTGGAAGGCTCAACTTGTTCAAGGCCTTATCATTACCATTTCCTCTGTCACTTAGATGTCCACTGTTGGCCAGCAGAAGTGCCTTCAATTTGGCTCATCTGTCCTTTATAACTCAATCTCCACACACCATGGAAAGCATGCTTGTTCTTTAGCAAAAACAAAATACCCAACCAAACAAACAAAAACACCTATTCCAAACCGATCATTTTCCCCTCAGTTCCAGAAAGAGTCTTGATGCACTTTAGTGGAAAGTTATATTAGAAATCAAAATTGGGGTGCAGGGAGGGAGTGCCTAGTATGATGTTTCATATGAGTATGGACTAGAAGCTGGAAGGTAACTGTTCATTACCTTCTTTAGAACAGATCAGAAAAATTATATTTCATTTTCATTCAATAATGTTATAAGTACAGCGTAGGCCAGGTGGCTCAGTTGGTTGAAGCATCATCCTGTGCACCAGAAGGGGTGTGGTTCATTCAGTCAAGGCAGATACCTAGGCTATGGGTTTGATCCCAGGTGAGAGCCCATACAGGAGGCAGCCAATCAATGAAGTTTCTCTTTCACATTGATGTTTGTCTCCCTCTCTCTCTCTCTCTCACCTCACCTACCAGCTCGCTCTCTCTCTCCTTTTTTCTCTCCCTCTCTCTCTAAAATCAATGAACATATCCTTGGGTGAGGATTAAAAACTAAATAAATAGCCTGACCGGCGTGGCTCAGTGGTTGAGTGAGCCACATGAGACCTATGAACCAGGAGGTCACAGTTCGATTCCCGTTCAGAACACATGTATGGGTTGCAGGCTAGATCCTCAGTGTGGGGCATGCAGGAGGCAGCCGATCAATGATTCTCTCTCATCATTGATGTTTCTATCTCTCTCTCCCTCTCCCTTCCTCTCTGAAATCAATAAAAATATACCTAAAAATATATATGTAAATAAATAGATAATTTTTTAAAGATTATAAGTTCATATAAAAGGTTTAAATGTAACTCTAAATTTACTAAGTCCTCTTTTTTGTTATGTGAATAATATTCATTAACATTCTCCTCTTTTCTAAATTATCATCTTTAATATTTACATACATGCAAAAATTGCCAATAGCAATCCATTCATTTAAATTATAATATTGAAAGTACTAGAAATCTCATTTTTTAAAACATAATTATAATTTTTCTAAGTATACCATTCAATAATAATCACAATACATTAATTATTTCATCATTACACTTTTGGCTATTGAACAAATTAAAGGTTTTGTGTCTTTTCTCTATAAACAAGTGAACATGGGTAGAACCTACAAGGGATGTCTCTTTGCTTTCATAAGCAAAATACAAACCTCCTATGTAATTGTATATTTGTTCATTTGTAAGACAATATTACTATTATATTTTTTATCACAGACAGTTTTAGTGTTTATCTCCAATATTTCAAATGCCATTAGAAAAACAGAAAGGTATTTATTACCTTAATATTACAACAACTAAAGTTTCTAAAAGCAATTAAGAATATCAATGAACCCAAATAAATTGCTATTCACATTTACAAGAATTTAAATTAAGTATTGTCTTTAAGATTCCCCAAACTAAAAAAAGAGTAATTTTTGTTATATTCATCATATTCATTGTTATAATATCATTTATATTGAAAACACTTAAGAAAAAAGTCCCAAAATTTTAAATTTAACTTAGCCAGAAAAATAAATGGTTTAAAAAACAACCATGAAAGTATTTTAAAAAGACCAGTTAAGGAGAACTTACCAGACATTACAATTCAATAAAAAGCCATTGAATTCAAAACAGAATGGTTTTGGCACAGAAACAGACATACAGAGATCAGACAAGATAGTCCAGAAATGATCCAAATATATACGTGATCAGAGTAACATTTCAGTCCCATGAAAAATTAAATTTCTTGTTATAACTAGGATTTAAGTAACTGGAAAAAAATAAAGACTCCTACCTCATATCATTATAAAATTTAAGACTTCATGTTTAAAAATTTGGAAAGAAAGTTTAAGAGAATATTTGTATGACCTTATGATGGACGACACCACCTTGCACAAAACAGATAAATAAGAAACAAAAACAAAAAAAGACAAACATATTTGACTGAATAATAATAAACAATTTTCATTTGGCAAAAGGCATATACACAGAGACAAAAACTGTAAAGACATATTTGTAAAAATAGAGTATCAACATTTCTAAAACACAATAAATAGCTTTCCAGAACTGTGAAACAAAAAAACACTACAAAATAAATAAATGGGCAGTGGAAATGAACATGAAGTGAAACAAAGAGAAATTCAAATGGACAGTAAACATATGAAAATATACTCCACATCAATGGGACTGCAGAAAATGCAAATGAAGGTAATGGTAGGAGAAAATAAGACTGGCACGAATTAAAAGGAATGGTAGCATCCAATGCTGGTGAGAATGTAGGAAATGGGTGCTCTGATGTGCAAATGTGATTTGCTAGTCCTTTGGAAAATGTAGTCTAACAATATCTATTAAAAGTAAAAATACACATACCGTTTGACCAAGCAATTCCACTTCTGGGAATCTATCCTATAGGGGGGAAAAAAAGGACCAGTACGTAAGGACATAGGTACAAAGATATTTATTGCAGCATTGTCTGTGGTGGGGCAGAGGAAGGGAAGGGCTGGTAATAACACAAATGACCATCCATGGTAAAATGGTTAAATGTAATGTGATGTATCTGTAATATATTATGGTACATAATTATAAAGAAGAATGAGATAAATCTGACTTGGAAGACTGACATTGTCAGAAAAGCAAATGGAGGAGTGAGTGCTACAATCTCATTCTGAAGCGAGCAGCAACAAGGGCAAGAAATGATGGGTAGGAATGCGCTTATGCACCTGCATAAGGGACGGAAGGATACAGAGAAACACTGAAGGCAAGCAATGGCCACCTGGATTGGATGCTGTGATTGGATACAGGGACTGGAAGAGATGTGGATTATTTATTTCTCTTAGTGTATCTTAGTGCTGTTTCACTAGCTACTATAGCACCACTTTAATTTTTTAAAAATCTATTTAAGAACAATCATTAGCATTTCTTATTGGTAGTAGAGCAGCAGTGTTTCCAGACATTCATCTTTTAGTAAAATAGTAAATAGTTAATTCACATTCTCCTACAATGAATTAACATAGATGGTTGGTGAACATTGACTTCAATCATTGGTAGTCAAGGCATGCTTTTGTAAACTAGTTTTATTTGGTGATAAATATTTTAGACATCTTCTGGAAATATGCCCCAAGAATATTTCCACAAAGGTACCTCCTGTTCATGCAGGGTACCTTTCCACGGTCACCACACAGAGAGTGTTTCTCCTCCAGACGACACACCTGAGGCTTCAGAGCAATCAATGACTTCCACTCTCGTGCCGCCATCTTTACCGGTCCACTCACTCTGGATCAGGTTCCCCAACTTTGGCACCATTGGCATTTTGGGTGGATAAGTCTTTATTGCAGAGAGTGTGCTGTTTCCCTGTGCTCTGTAGGTTGTTTAACAACATCTCTGGCCTCTGTTTTCTAGATGGTGGGAGAAGCCACACTCCCCAGTAGTTGTGACCACTAAAACTGTCTCTAGACATTGATTTCTCCTGACGGGAGAAAATCACCTCTGGTTGAGAACTACTGTTTTAGACCAATGATCAGTTGAAATGTACAGTCGACCTTCCTTGTTTTATAAGACTCAGTCACTGCAGGGACTGTTAAGCCTAAGGCCAACCCTCTCTAACTATTCCCTGAGCCAGACTGGGTGGCCCTCTCACCCACTAGACGTGAACACCTGAGCTTACACACCTGAAGCTCATCTGGTCACATCCTTCTTCTTCGATTCCCTGGCCATGCTGAGCCTGAGCTGTCCACTGCAGTTCTTTCCCGAAGAAAAGCGGCTGCTTCCTTCTGACTTCAGCTTGAAATCATTACCTGAGCTGCTCCCAGAACTACCCATCCAACTGTTTCTCTTGGGCTTCCCTGAGGGAGTTTTTCTGACCAAGTATTTGCTCATTTCTCAACTCAGTCTCCCCCATCTCTTCCAACAACACATGCTGGGGACATTTTTACCTCAGTGCCTCCATACTGTATCAACTCACACATGATTCTCCCAATTTATCTCAAAGACTAGACTGCCATTACACCACCAGAAAACTCTTCACAGTTTCCTCAATTGATCTATACATGCCATGCAATTTCAATAAAAATCTCAACAGGCCATTTTTGTAGAAAATGATTCCAAAATTAAAAACCTAAACTCAGCAAAACAACTTTGGAAAAATAAATAAACAAAGTTGAAGAACTAACACTATCCGCTATCTAAAGTTCTTATAAGGCTATAAAATAAAACAGTGTGGTATTAATGTGAAGACAAACAGGCCAATGGAACAGAAAAGAAGGTCTGTATCTAGACACACAAATAATATGGACAACTATTTTCAACAAGGTACAAAGTGATTCAGTGGAGAAAGGACAGTCCCCCCAGATGATGTTGGAATAAATATGTACTATACATGAGAACATGAACTTCAATCCATACTTCACCCTGTATACAACATTAACTCAGAATGAATCATAGACCTAAATGTAAACTTGAAAACCATAAATCTTCTGGGGGGGGACTCAGAAGATAAATTAGACTTCATCAAAACTTAAAATTTTGCTCTTCAATAGATGCTGTAAAGAGACTAAAACTACAGGCCATAAGCTGAGAGGAAAGCCACCAATCGTGAACAGTAGCTTTATTTATAATGGCCAAAACCTATAAGCTATAAGCAACTCGAATGTCCATCAGCAAGTAAATGGATAATCCAACTATGCTGTACCCACTTCATAGGATATTACTTATAAATACAAACATAATTTCAAAATAATTAGGCTGAATAAAATAAACCAGACCATTAAAAAGTACAAACAGTACTTTTTCATGTATTTAAATTTTAGAAAATGCAAACTGATCTTTAGGTATGGAAAGTATTAGTAACTTACTGGGCATGTGAGGGTGGAAGGAACAAATATAAATTGGTAAGAGGAAACTTCTGGGGAGAGTGGGAACTCCACTACCTTGATTGTGATGGTAGTTTCAGATATATACATACATCTATTTATAAACTTGTACTTTAAGTGCAGTTTATTGTAGTCAATTATGCTTCAATAAAGTGTTTTTGTTTGTTGTTTTTTTTAATTGGGGGTGGGGGTAAGGAGAGCATTGTTAGCCGCTGGGGAACATTAACTCTGAGAGGATGCAGGGTTCTGCCGTTCCTGGGACAGCAGAAATTGGCTCATGCCACATGGAATTCCATGATGGCCTTTTTTGTTTGTTTTGTTGTTTTAAAATCTGTTGGGGTTTGTGACACATAGAATTCACAATTCTTGGGTACTTAGCCTAGGAGATGTTCCATAGAAAAAAAGGTGCATGTTGGGCAGGAAAGTACCAACTTAAATGATCTTGGCTTTAATTTCTCCTTTAACTGTTTCCCAAGACAAGCACCGCCATCACCATCCTACTGTGATCTTAAAGATATTGTCTGACCAACAACTGTCAGGAGTGGGGCTTGAAAATTAGAATAGAGCCAAGTAGCCTGAACCCTCAAAGATAATAATTAAGTACAGCATGCTTTTAACCAGATGTTTGATGACAATACTTTTTCTTGTGATTCTATCCGAATCAAGTGCATTTACATACAAATTGGAAATACCTTAGAATTCCGCCTAAGAAAGCCACCATTGTTCCCCTAAGACGTGGAACCCATGCACGGATCTATTCATTTCATTTCAGTGTGTAATGTCAAGTGCATCTGTAAAATATACTTCCATTGCTTCCGAGGGCTTCTTTAATCCACAAGGACTGGTGTTAACGTTTAAACTAATTTGCTTTAAACATAAAAAACCCTGCTCATTCTCCCTGATAATTGATTCTTGATTTGTTAAGCTTCTAAGCATGATGCTTTATACCCTGCAATACAAAACCCCTGGTGAACTCTCACTGCCCCACGCAGAGCAAATGCTGTTCAGAGCCTCCGCAGAGAGGCCAAGGAGAGCGCAGGAGAGGAGCAGCATGCTCCCTCCCTTCTCTGTCTGCTCCAAGGTCCCTGCTGCCCCCGCAGTAAACATCATTTGTTCCACAGCAGCTACAGGAGGATGTCACAAGGTGCCAACTCCTCAAAGCAAATACTGTCCTCAGCTTTTGAAAAAGAAAAAGAAATCCAAAAGATAACCTCTGTCTTCAGCTAACCTCCTAAGCAAAAGCATGTCCCACCATCACCGATGACAATAAAGACGGCATTGGAAAATCAGGGTTTAGTGAGAGTCCGGCATTCAGTGCTAATGCCACCATAAAGTTAATCCTGTTGGTCTCTGTGGCACCATGGAAGTCAGAAATCATTTTTCTTAAACAATAAAGAGCACAGAGCATATGCCCAGTGAATATTTTCTAACAGGGTAAGAACACCTTCACATAAGCATCTACTAAATATGCAAATAGTTCTTGAAAGAAGAATTTACATTCCTAGAATAAAAGCATTTAAAAATCTTTCCCTGAATAAAATAGAATATATGTATTTGATTTTCTTATTAGAATTTTCATTTTTAAATCAGTGAAATGTATCCTTCTGTGCTTGGTCAAATGGATGCCACCCATGTCCACTTGAAGGTAAAATTCAGAGAATATGTTTGATAAAACACTTTTCTCTCCTGGAATTGTGCTTCCAGAGTTATCTGGCTGCAATTCCTGTGGCCACAATTTACCTGGGTGATGGAGGAGGTCATGCTGAAGCAGAAGGCCTCTGGGAAGAGAAGTGCACATTTCTGGCATGTGCTATGTGCATGTCTTAGGTTCCCACACCTAAGCATGGAAAAATCCTCAACCTCATTCTCGAAGTGGTGGCGTTACAGAACAATATGACAAAAGACAGTGCATGTGAATTCAGATGGAAGAAATGACCCTTCAGAATTCTCAGAGGGAAGCCCCTGTGCAGAAAGCAGAGAAGGAAACCCTGAAATAACTCTGTCCAGCTGGTAAGGTCTGACAGCAGGCTGGCAGCAAGAGCAAAGAGCAGGGAGCTGAACTCTCAGAAGTCAGAAGGGCAGGGAGGGTAAGGAGGAATTCCAAGACACAATGTGCTCTTCCAGGTACCACTCACCTCCCCACAGTTAGCTGAGGGCCAGACAGCACAATGGGGTGCAGAGGACAATACAGAATGCAGCTGCCCAGCACAATGTCTCATTAGGTATGCACCCATTTGGGGACTGCCAGTGACTGCAGCTGGGAACAAACACCACATCCCACCAGTGTGACTGTCACAAGTCTCTTTATTTGTCCGAGCAAACAGCATCCTGGTGGTGCTGGTGTCAGACTCTAGGTCTTCCCTTTGATTGTAGTTTTAAGAGTAATGCTTAAGGAGAGGTTGAGGCCACGCTTTGCAAAATGCTCAAAGAAACCGTGACAAGTGTGGTAAAGTCAAGCATGCCTGTGAAGTGCTTATTGGGTCCACGCTAAGGATGTCTGTGCTAAAATCCGTATCTTTACAGTACAAAATGCAGCCA